CCGAAAAACAATTTTACAGCAGCATCTCGGAGCACGAAACAGAACGTGGACGAACATTAGACAGGTTAGTCGAAATACTGAAGTGAATTGACAATGGGAGTCTCAGAACATAGAACTCATTGCGGCCAAATTCTGTAGCAAAAGAAATTACGAAGAGTCCGATGACCCTCGGTCTCCAATTAAGGGTTAAAGTGTATAGTGAATGTCAGTATAATTAGAGTACATTAATATTGGAAAATGGGTATTTGGAGGAATCGAGGTGTGACAACGATGATTTTCAAGTCTGTTATTTTAAATAATAGAAAAAGTTTTGTCAAGCCAGAATCCACTGCGATCTCGGATTTCTGAAGATACTACAATTGTCTAAGTGGTTAATAGCTCCTATCCGTCAGCCACTATTTATCAAGGATACTAAAGCACGAGCTCGAATTCAATTAAAATTACTTCAATTATTTTTAAACCTCGATTGACGCGGCAAGATCAATTTCAAACTTTTCTGTATATACCTCAGAAGAATAAAATATGAAAAAGAGTAAGTTTTATAATGGGGGAATTGATTGATAGTATTGGTATATTAAATTCAACAAAAAAGAACTTACAGGAATACTTGGATTTTATTTTTAATTTATATTTTTTAATTATTTTCAGTTATAAACCTAAAGATGTTGGGTGGTGGAAACCACAATAGGAAATAAATTTAAATATTTTTTTGTGTGAAAGAGTTTTAGTGAGTACGGAAGACTGGGTATTTCCAGATTGGAGCAAGGCAAAGAGAGAAGATACAATGGAATAGATAAAAGTAGGCTCCTTCATAGAGCGGGAATACATGGATATTCTCTTTCTGTTTAATTAAATAATGTATGATAAATATCCCAGCAACGCGAGGTTCTTCAGCTAGTGTACTTTTAGAGTATCAAATAAAAACAAAAAAAAAACATTGCAATTGATATTTGAAACAAATTTTCAATTAAGATATAGATGTATGTAGTAAAAAAAACAGTAAAAACTGTATGTGATGTATGGGGGAAAAGGATTATTCAGTATTTTACAGGTATTATACATGTAGACATATGTTCTTGAAAGAATTAACAACACTTCCCTAAACTCAACATTACAAGTAATACACAATCTTCCTTGACGGTTTCCAATCACAAAAATAGTTAGGTTCAATCAAAAAATAGAAGAGGTTTTTACTCTTGGGAAAGCCACGTTAAGTTGTCTATGACATACTCTGACCCGGAATTTTCAAGATTATTTAGATCACTATCACACTTATTTTCTTTTTCAAGATACACACGATTTTCTACAAGGTATTTCTGGCAAACTTTGTAACCACAGGAGTGCCAACAAAATGAATTAAAAGTTTCTTATATTTCACAGGTTAGTAACATTTCTCTTCAACAAAACAGTATTTTAGTAATGGAAGTCTGTTGAACTGTATTAAATTCGGCATTTCATGGTTTCAAAAATACTTGCTAACCTTAAATCGTATTTGAGGAGAGCATTAGTCAGTAGTAATATCATAAGTCAGTGGAAAGACGTCACCATAATTTTAGCAGATAAAACATTTTCATTAAAAAATATGAATTTGTTAATGTAGAATTACTTGCACTAATTACATAGTTCATAAGTCAAAGATAAAACGAAATTGACATCCCAGAATAATGCAGTCGTTAGATATACACTGCTGTTTGTAAAAATTGCAATACCCAGAAGGAAAGGTCGAAATCGCTTAAAAATCGGTGGATTAGTAGAATGATGTATCCACAAGAAGTGCTTAAATTTGCATACAGATGGCGCGCACGTTGACCTAGCATCACCCTCTTTTATGTGACAGATTAGGTTAGTGTTGAGCCACACCCAGTAGGTGTAGAGTCATCAAACAATGTGAACGGGCAAGCAGGTACTAGTATGCTTCGTTAACGCCAAAGGACGCACTATCAGCATCTGGGTGACGTTTGAGGCTCTTTTTGAATCCATACTACGACGTCTCGAGGTTGTGATCGCAGCTGGTGACTTCACACCGTAATAAATTCTCAAGGTTTCAATGCAGGTGCAGTTCTGTTTATTCTAATCATTTGTATATTATGATATTCCTTATCTGTGGAATAAATTTCATTATAGTAGTATGTTTCCTTCTTGGTGTTGCAATGTTCACAAACATCAGTGTATTTTTGATTCATCCAACCAAGTCGATAAATCATTTTTCCAGTCCTCTTTTAAGTTCGCAAACCTTACTTTGGACCGGATCAAGGTATAACACTTTTGGATAGAACAATAAATCCAACTATGTTTTCTTTATAATTAATTATTAGTTTCTTATTATATGAATAACATGTTAGTATGTGTGTGCCGTACAGACTCAACAACTCGGTCAATTTAGTTGAAACTTTCACGTCTTGTTCTCAATATTAGTATTTTCAGAAGTGTGTTAAGACTCACTTATATGAAATTGAACAGAAAGGGTGATTTTTTAATGTTAATGAAAGATTGGTTTTATGGACGTTTTGATTTATGCAACTAGTAGTGCTACAGAAAGGCGCAGACTTTATCGTATTAGATTTCAATTTTTTTCGTCTTAGTCTCTCATAGGTCTATTTGGTTAATTGCCCCCATCGTCTTACCAGATGCCATCTATCGGCAACCAAAATAATTCCTAGTAGTTCCTAATAGTAGAACCGAATTAATACTTTAAGAGGATTAAAGAACTGTAAAACCACGTCATATATACCAATTTGTACTAAAAAATGTTCAGCCGTTTAAAAAAAGGTGTCTAAGGTTTGCTGTGAATGCGAAATATGAAGCTCTTTTCACAGAAAACTATTGAGTTTATCAAAAAAGTTCATATTAAGTCAATTTATCCATTTTAGTATTAAATACAATAGTGTTTACAAATCACTATAAATATGCATACTAAAGGCGTAAGAGATCTTTCAAAAAATATATTTGAATAATTTTTGAAAAAACACAAAAATAACCCACTTTACATCATATTAAAGAGTGCAATTAGTACTATCCGTTAAAAACGTTTGAAGAAAAAATGTAGGTCCGTATTTGACAAAATGTGGAATGTGGAATTTGGAGCTATTTTCACAGAAAATGGTTGAGTTTTCAAGAAAATTACCACATTTTTTAAAGCGCATAAATATAATAATGTGAAGAAATTGCCGATAATGTAAATATTAATGACGTAAGAAAAGTCCAAAAATTACATTTTTATAATTAAAAAAAAAACTAGTCATTTATCTTTAATTTTGTAACTGAATGAAGACGCCGGAAATAATTTGCACTTTAGAAATTTTCGATAATTGATAGTGCATCCAGAAAATTGAAACTATTCCACCTTTATAAGTGCATTTTACACTATTCTTGCAAGAAATTTAATGAAAAAAATTGAGGCCTTTTTGAGAAAATTTCGAAAATGTCGCTAGGGCTTCATATAAAGTACTCCCAAATTTAAAATAATGTTTTTCAAAGTCTCAAAGCTTTGACGAGAGCCAGATTGACAGTGATTTCTTCAATTAGAAAACAATCCTACACATGGTTTGGGCACTAGTAGTGTCCACAGACGGACGGAAAGATGGACAGGCAGATGGCGAGACAGTTGACAGACAGACGGACAGTTTGTCAGACAGTCGGACGACTGACAGACAGACGGACATACTGAGAGACAGGCGGACAGATGGACGGACGATTTGAAAAAAACAACACTTTTTCGGTACCCGAAAACGTGTATTTCCGTTGAAATCTCGAAATCAATTTTCCGCAGCATTACATATCTTTCTTTATACTACGTCAATTACTGACCATACGCATATGCGTACGAGAAAGTAAACAGGCTTAATAGCCGCATTATTCAAGACTGATGACTGGCAAGTCCAAGGGTCCTTGTTCCGACTGAGGTAGATTTTTTGACGTTACGTAAAAACCTAGGTTGAATTCAATCATTGCGGGAGAAATCTAGCAGTCGGCTACTCCAATCGGTGTGTTCGCGGTGTTACTAAGCGAACGTCTTACCGCGTGGAGAGGTGTCCTACGATCCTACCTGAAGAAGGAGCCCGGTCTAGTGGCTCAGTGGCGAAGTCGCTTGCCTTTCACCACCAGCGTTCCGGGTTCGATTCTCATAGAGGTCCCGTAGAACCTCATGTGAAATTTGTTCCGACAAAACGAATTTGCCTGGCTCACAGAAGCTCGTCCAACCCTCTGAGAAGCGTTCTAAACCTTATCCCTAACCTTAATCCTTCCCAATTGTAGCTGACAGGTAGATGACGCGGGCGCCGCGAAGACGTTACCTGTCGGCGATTCCCTGACTTGACTATGCCAATACAGCGGGCCCTAGAGGGCGCTTACTAACGTAGTATTACTCCAGTGCGGTCAACGCTCCTTACGGAGTTTGGAGACGCGTTCCGGTACAGACGGAACAAATTGAGAAAAAAAAACTCTACACGCAGGCTTGTAGGCAGCAGGCACCTCTCGTTGCAGCGTGGGGAGGACACCGACACCTCCCGCAATACAAATTCCATTACACTTAGGGGATCAAAGGAGTTGACGTCTCCCAAAAATTTAATGATTCAGCTACTGTTGGAATTATAATTGCTCTTTAATATCTTTCTTTATTTGAACTTTATCATTTATACATTTTGTGATACAAGGTACAACAAATCTGGGACCAAGATATAATACGGTGGGTTAACTTGGTCCTAATGTAAATATTTATTACTAATTAAAATTAAACATAAAGAACTCTTCAATAATGGCCGAATGCATATATTTATATATCAAGTAATATTTTAATATTTATTGACTGAAACTGATAATAACTGTCTATAATTAATCAGTATGTAAGCACTGGTATTACGTATGATATTGTGGGGAAAATATTCAAAAAATATCAATAAAACCTCAACAAAAGTGCACTAAAACAAAAAAAGAAGATTGAGAGTGAATATTATAAAAATTACATTTAATGTTATTTTCAATATCTATTAATAAAGAGCGATGTGAATAATAACTTAATAAACAGAAATATGAATAAAACACGGCTAGAATAGAATTTTCTGACATGGTTATGGCTTTTTTAACGCACGGTAAATCTCTCTGTCAACTTCTGAATAACAAAGGGGCCATGTGTGGCGCATTTCCCTCCAAAATGTTTTGTATTTCTTCGAATGTGCGATTTTTCGTTTCAGGCAAGATGAAAAAAATGGCCACCAAGCCCAAAAAACAACAAACGGCGTACACCAAGAAAAACACGTACAGGGCAATCACGGGCGCCAGGTACTCGTAGGTCCACACCACGAAGAAGGAGAGGATCTGCGGGACAAAGAAATAAGAACAAGTTAATGCACAATAAAGATAATTTTAAAAAAAATCTGCCTGCTCGGAATTTTGCCAAGGGAGTTCATAATACAAATCTCTACACATTAACGTTTAGGGATGGACATCCGCATGCGTCCTCTGTCAAGGTCTGATAATTCATTTTATTAGCCAGAGAACTAAAAGTGCAGAGTTCAGTTTTTGTAGTCGCATGAGATAATTTTTAAAGGGTGGTGTTAGAGGGTGGGGTTTTTTGGGGAAAACTTAAAGAACGATGGGTAGGTGATTTAAGGCGAACGGAGTTTGTAGGGAATCGTGAACTTATCATGTTTGGTGAACTATATTTTTTACCGACAGGGTTGAAATATTGATGTACTGCGAGATTGGGGGAGGGATGAGAAATATTTATGTGTCATAACGTTTATATAGTAGTTTATTGATGAAATATTTATTTCTTTTTGGATTTACATGTTGCTTATTAACCTAGGATCTTTAAGGACTTTTCTGGGAATTTATTTTATATTATGTAACGGTACAAGCTCCTGCGTTGGAAAATGTCCATGAAAAAAAGAAAAAAATAGCAGACGCCCGCGACGCAGCTGCGAGGAAGGGGGGGTCGTAGGCATTCGCTTCTCGCCGTCTCGTCTATTGAGGCGAGGGTTCTATAAACGTTTATGGCAGGGACATCCCGCCGCCAAATGGTCAAGTTGAGTGCGCCTAATTCAAGCGACCGCTCATAAAAGAATCCCAACGCCTGAGTGCGCCTCCTCGGTGAGAATGAATTTACAACCAAACGGTCAGCGGCCTCACGTGCGAAAGGGAAAACAGGCCTGATAGTTTTTTACAACAGAAACGGAACATGTCTGGCCGTTTAAGAAAAGAGTTCCCGTGTGATTGGTCAGACAACGCCTCCACCCTGCTCGCGGAAATTCAACCCGCGGTCTATCGGAGGATTACAACGATTCTTTGCGAGGGACGGGCGCTGGTACGAGGTTTGATGTTTACTAGGCGCCCTCTCGGAAATCCACTGGGATGGCTTGCAGACGGCGGGACGTGGTCGATTCGACTGGGATGGCGTTGAGCACGGCGGGAGTGTCGATTCGAAGGTGGCTGAGATGCGCCGTGAGGGTCGATGAGACTTTGGACTTTATAAACTCGGCCACGAGAAAGTCACTCGATATTCTTGACTCGGGCCATGAGAAATCAATTGATTTTCAAAATCTCGATTCGCTAGTCCGGTCACGAGATTCACTTCCTTGCCAGTTAATCAAGTATGCATTCAGAAGCATATTGCGGAGGGAATTGGTTTGACTTCCTTCATCAGCGACTTTCTGTATCACCGGTGGCTGGCCTGATGGATTGGGGACGCTGACTGAGTAGTGGGCCCCCGAGGGAAGCGCGGCGACAATCCAACGGTCCACGCTGGGAGCCCCTGTGTTTCACCGCCTCTGCCTTAGGAAGGGGGCGGCCCGAACAGAGGACGACGAGGTGCGACTACACCACCGGGGCGGCAATGAGGCCCGCCACAGAAACGAGGGTAAATTAATCCGCATGGCTCCTCCACAATAAATAATGCGGTACATTCGACGTCTACTTAGAGCGGAAGCGAGGGTGGCTGGAAAAGGAGTGCCCATATAAGGAACAAAGTAACCGTGACGACCCATTATGTGTTTTTTCTTATTGTACTAACCTTAAATAGATTACCATGTCATATAAAAGAAAGTACCGTAAAGGACGTGGGTACAGGTATTGACGGGGTACAGGAAGCGGATACATCGCCCCGGAAATTGATGGCTTGAAAATTCCCGGATACTATATGCTGATGATTTAAGTCTTATGTTCGGAGACGCATTGAGGGCTTACAGAAGAGTTTAATATTCTAGAACGGTATAGTGAGGACATGGGGACTAAAAGTAAACATTCCAAAAAAAACGAAAGTTAGTATTAGCTTCAAAAATGATTTATCTTGGCGGTAAGCAAGAGAAATGGTTACTACGCTAGGAGAAATTTGACCGCGTCAAAATCTTCTCTGCGTGTAAAATTTCCATGAATGGGGATGGAATAATCACATACTACGGCCACAGCAAAGGAAGGGAATTTGCGCTCAAAGGAAATCGTTTGCGCAGTGCGCAGGGTTCCGGGAATTGCCGGTTAAAAGTGTGCAATTACAATTAGTTTCTGCCAGCTATGAAACTATGGGGGCAGGAAATCTGGGGAGTAGATAGGATAGATCGACTAGGAATGTATCGGAAAACGATTTATTTTCAAAATTTAATATCTAGGAGTTTCTCAGATTTGCGCAGCAAATGCCGAAGTCTTAAGAGAGGTCGGAAGATAGAATTTGGAGGATTTTAAAATGAAAATCTATTAAACTTTGGATTAAAATTAGCAGATGAACAGGCTGACACACTCATACATAGGTGCTTGTAAGAGTGCCAAATGGCAGGGAAAGCTACCATCGTTACTGGGCGCGACCGTACAAAATTAAACGGCTACTTGACCGCGCAGGGTTTAGCGGAGACGTCCTCTCCGGAAATGGTGGAAGATAGGGGAACCCGTTGAAATAGAACTGGCTGATTTCCAATAGATTGCAGGATATTAAAAGCAAAGAGATCTGGGGCAGCAACGGCTGAAAACGTGGTCGCTAGTAGCTTCAAATTCATTGCGAGTCCGTTATGGGCGTTGCGAAGGTTACGTTCATACTCTCGGAAAGGTACACAAGAGGGGATACGCTTGCGTTCAGGGGTTGGGGGATGATGCAGCATAAGACTAAAGACGCAAGTGGGTAATGCATACTGTGTGCTTTGCTGGTTGCATGAGGTGGATAAGACTGGATCCACATGCCTCTTAATTGCTGTGCCCAAACCGAATTATGGATGAAAAATTGGATGGGAATGGGAAATTACTACCTTCTAAACAGGAACGTAAGCCTCGCCCCAAAACATTTTAGGTGATAAAGTCTAGGAATTCCGATGAAAGAATTAGGAACATTTTTTAGGAAAGGTTCGATCATTAGGGAAACTGAAATTAGGGAGTGGGAAAACAGCACACGGGCTTAAGCTTGAGCGGAGCGCTAGGACTGACAGGGAAATAAATCAGTCACAATAAGCTAACAATATGTGTTAATCAGTAATTCTTATGTCAAGTAAGTAAACAGTTAAGAAATAAGGTCAATAAGTCATAGTTAATTGCGTAAGTAAAAGGTTAATATAATAAATAAAAATAAAACTGCATAGTAATAAGCACATTAGGGGGGAAAGGTAAAACGGGGGATCGAAAATATAAGGGCAGAGGCGTTGCCGTTGCGGCACGATCTTCTTTGGCTCACAAGTTATTTAAAAGCGTT